TGACATTGGACCTCCTTGTCTTGTTCCTGATTTTAAAGGGAAGGCTTTCAATTTTTGTCCATTACCTATGATGTTGGCCTCTGCTTTGTCATAGATGGCTTTTATCAGCTTGAGGTAAAGACCATGTATTTGGAATCTCTATATTGTTTTTAACTTGAAAGAAAGATTGTTAAATTTTCTCCAAAACTTTTCTTTAACTATTGAGATGATCATGTGATTTTTATCTTTGGCTCTGTTAATGTGATACATTTATTTTTTGCATATATTAAACTATCATTGCATTCCTGGGATGAATCCTGCTTGGTCTTGATGCATAATGTTCTTGATGATATTCTGAGTTCTGTTTGATGGTATTTTATTGAGGATTTTTGCATCTGTGTTCTTTAAGGAGATTGGCCTGTAGTTCTTTTTTGGTTGCATTCTCCTCTGGTTTTATTATCAGAATAATACTTGTTTCCTGAATGTGTTTGGGATAATTGTTTCCCTTTCAGTTTAATTGAAGAGCTTGAGAAAAGTTACCATTAGGTCCTTCCTAAATTTCTTGTAGGTTTCAGTTATGAATCCATCAAGACCTGGGCTTTTCTTTGTTGGCAGTTTTTTTGAATTGCATTTTCAATTTCATTGGCTAATATTGGGTTATTCAGAATTTTAAAATCTTCTTGATTTAGCTTTGGTAGTTCATATTTATCTAGGAATTCATCTATTTCTTTGATATTTTATATACTGTGAGAGGAAAGATTTTGGAAATAAGCATTACTATTGTGGTATAAGGTCTGTAGTTCTTTCATTGTTTTTGTTCCTCATTGTGTGAATTTGAAATTTTCCTTTCTTTTTTAATGAGTGGGGCTAGGGGTTTATTAGTTTTACTTATTCTTTGAAATAACCAATTCTTCAGCTCATTAATTCTTTGTATTATTTTCTTTGCCTCCATTGCATGTATTTCTGCTCTGATCTTTATGACTGCTTGCCTTCTTTGGATTTTGGACTTGACTTGCTCTTCTTCTGGGATTTTGAGGCACATCATAAGATTGTTTATTAGGGCTCTATTTTTGTGACGTGAGAATTTATCACTATATATTTGCTTCTTAAGGCAGCTTTCATTGTGTCCCACAGGTTACAGTAAGATGTATCTGCATTTTTTTACTAGACAAAGACTTTTATTTAAAATTTTTTTTTCCATAATTTTATTGAGAGACAAATAGCAATGAGACAGTTTCAAATCAAATTGGTATGACAGTTTCAATAATTAACACATTGTATGCTTTCTTTTTATCTGCATTTTCATTAAATTCTAAATGCTGTTTAATTACTTTTTATTTCATTTGTGACCCATTGATTGTTCAGGAGGATATTATTTAGTTTTCACGTGTTTATAGAGTATTTGCTGTTTCTTTTGTCAATAATTATTTTATTGTACTATGGTCAGATAATATGCATAGGATAATTTTGATTCTTTTGCATTTACTTAAGCATGTTCTGTGTGCTAGCTCATGATCTATTTTGGTGAACATCCCATGTGCAGCTGAGAAAAATATGTATTCTGGGGCTGTTCAGTGGATTATTCTGTAGAGGTCTATTAAGTCCATTTCTTCACAAGTTTGGCTTAGTTCTGTTATTTCTTTGCTTATTTTTTTTGCATGATTGATCTATCTCTTTGTGTCAATGGGGTATTAAAGTCTCACAATGCAATTATGTTATTGCTCATTTAATTTTTTATATGTGTTAAAATTTGTGTTATATATTTGGGTGCTCCTACATTGGGTGCATACCTATTTATAATTGTTATCTCTTTCTCTTGTAGTTTTCCCCTAACAAATTTGTAGTAACTTTCTTTGTTTCTTTTAATCTCATTTGGTTTGAAGTTGACCTTGTCAGCAATCAGA